TTGTAATACCTTCGAGCATCGAAGCGTGCATCAGTATACGTGGTATGGGAAAGCTTGTGCACAGAGGTCGATTATCTCTTTATAACCGTATCGTCTGACTTAACGACGCTCTGTAGTAGATGCTTTCATGGAGAGGCTCATAACTCTCATCCGTTTATCACCTTGTTATTGATACGCTACTCTTTTATAGATGGAGTACCATGCGAAGGTCCGGCGGCAATAACAATCACAAAATCAAAAACGAAACTCGTGCAAACACGAGGATAAAACTTGCAAACTGCATCGCATGCGGTTTGAACAGATCTCAGTAATGATAACTGATGTGGACACCGAATGGAAGCTTCTTAATAGTGGCTTACTCAGGGCTTTCGGCAAATGCCGCGGTTTCAAACGGGTGGCCTGCCGCCTCTAGGTCACAAACGAATTTCGTGGTGGACGCGAAAGATTCAACTGGTTGTCTCCGAGAAGAAGGCTACCTTCAAGAGATGGCTTGGAATCAAAGGGCCTTCCAAGTCGAATGCGGAACGAAGAATCGAGCAAGGTTATGCCGAAAGAGTGACTCTCCTGAGAGCATCAGGGAACGAATATTGGTTTTTTGAGAAGATGAAGTAGCAGAAGCTGTCATGGTTTGGAATAGTGGCAAGGCTGCTGGTGAAGCCGCCCTGCGATGCCTTAAACTTCAGGCGAACAAGATATGTTATGGCGAAAACGTGTCCGTCGAACTACAATGACTACGGGCAAGATATGAGATGACATGGGAACTGAGGTTGTAGTATTCCTGTTCATAAAGGGAGATTATCATAAGTGTTCCAGTTTTGGGACATTTCCTTCCTAAGCCTTCAGAGAAAAGGTTATGCAAAGGTGGCGCTGAGTAATTGCCAATTTCAAGGTCCAAGGACGGCAGTGTGGCTTTCGCTAAGGCTGAAGCATCTCTAACCAGATATTCACCCTACGTCAGATTGTTGAAAGTCTTCACAGTTCGAGTGACAGAATGGAACCTCGATTTTCTGGGGAGCTATCGATATCGCCGCTGAATATGTCACAGCAAAAATAATAATGACACCAGATTCAAACGGCGAATGCACAACGTAAAGAAAGAAAATTTAATTTCTCACTTTGCGCCAACAGATGAGTGCACTGCCCCCTTGCTTCTGTACGCCCAGGGGGCCAAAAGTGAGAAATTAATTTTTCTTTTTACACTGTGCGTTCGTCGTTTGAATCCGGTATCACTATTATTTTTACTGTCTTCACAGTTGGATCTTGCGGTTAACATGTAAACCGGGAGGAAGGCTATCACTTGGATTTTTCGCAACCAGGTATGGAATCGTCTGCAGAAATGTGGAATCGATGACTAGTTATTACGCGCCCCCCCCCCTCATTCACTATTTGTTGATAGCCGGTGCTGCGTTGAAGTAAATGACATTAAATCGAAGTTTTTCAAGGGGGCGCTCTTCGCCAAGGATGCGTTTTGTATTGTACGTGGTCCGGAAAATTGTGCACAGCTAAGGTAACAAGTGTATCAGAGACTAGACGATTTTTGGACTAGAATATTTTTGTTTGCAGACGACTGTTTCGTTCCCATATTCGGGGAAACTATTTCCAAACGCCCAATGGCAGAGTTCGAAATTGAGTGTGACGTAACCCAATGCTTGTGAACATGTCCATAACGAAAGGCTTAAACTTTCTCGTTTCTGTTCCCACCGCGTTCTCAAGATAAACGTCGCGGCACTGGAACAGGTTTACGTACCTTGGGATTATGTTTATTAGTAAGGGGAAACGGTTTGAACACATCCCACTGATGACAACTGTTGTTCAAACCGAGTCGCAGCTCTTTAAGAGCGGCTTGCTCGATTCTGCCGCCGAATGCTGCGGATATAAACGGGTTGGCCTGCCGCCTTGAGG